TTCGGTTTGCGGATATTACGTGATTCAGCATTTGATTTTCGGTTTTCGTCAAAAATTCAAACGGGATTTCCAAATTTTTTCCGGTTTGTCTTCGATCTAAGCGGCAATTAAGTATTAAGCGCCTCCACTGATCTCAAACAGCCGCGAAACGCAAATGTTATTGAGAGGAATGCGTAACAAAGCAAATGTCGCCAAAATAACTTCTCGTTAGTTGAATATCGTAGGGATCTGTAGGAGGTCAGAGAGAGTATATCAAAACACAGTTGTACAATCGGAGTACTTTGACCAACAGAATAAGCAAGCCAGTTAGTCTGAGAAGGTTATAAGTGTTTGACTATTTGGTTTCAAGTCTGACATGCAACTTCACATGGCCAGACTGACTTTGTGAGCTTGATCAATTATTTATAAGAGTCAAAAGGCAAAGCTACAACTGTCTGGCATACGGGGCTGGTGCACATTGGTATTACAAGCCTATGTAAATAACTTAAAGCTACAACTCTTTCTAACAATGATATATCATCATTGGTAGAAATCTTCTTCTTGCTCTTTAAAGCTGAATTTCACACTTGAACTGTATTATTCAATAACTTTCTGAGATATCTTGATAAAGAAATACCCTACCTTTTGAAATCCACGGCCAAAGAAGCTGTCACACAATCAGGAAATGACTTGGACGCACAAACGCCAATGGCAGAATGCATCATGGAAGCACTTGCACCACCATGTACCCATCTACAATAAGTTCAAATGCGGATATCAAATTATGAAAGCTCAATTATTCTGCCAGGTTGGTGTTTATCACCAATTTCTCTGACCTGAAACTCATTTACATGTATATGTAATTCCCTTGGATGGAACATAAACCATCTGGAGAAGCCAGGGACTTTTTGCCTCGTAAAAACTGTCCTCAGGCTTTTGATTCACTGGAGAGTACCTGTTCCCTGACCATGAAATTTAAACTCCACTAAATTAAGAGTGCATTTCAGTCTGGGTTTGGTTAATCTTCTTTCCACCTTTTCTGTGAGATGTCAGGCAGAGGTCCCTCCAAAAGACCAATTTTGTGATGACCCAAAGAATGGCTTGAAAGGAGTATGGAGTTTAATTTCTTGACATGAACCCTTGTTCAATGCAAAGCACCAACCTCCACCCATAAGAAAATTTTTCCATAAAAAGGATACCATTCTTAACCCTTTGCACCCTTACAGCAGTATGCAAAATCTCCATACAGTTCTCTACATTTCCTGGTGAGCTAATAAGGAGAATTTGTTTAACAATCAAGAACTTCTTTAGTTGGTGATCATTTCCTTTATTCTTGTGCCCTTAATGTGTGATTCAAGGGTGACATTATAAGGAGAAATTAGATGCTAGTCACTCCTATAGGTTAAAGGATTAAAAGACTCTTGGGCCCTTGGCCCTTGCTTCTTTTGCTTTGTTCAACACATTTCCTCACTTTCTATGTCTTGCACAAGATCACCTCCCCCTCCCTCATAACTGAATGTTGCCCCACTTACCCTGGAGGTCCCTGGGTATATGATCCAAACTGAATCACTCCTTTCACCTTCTTTTCATTTTTGCTGAAGAAAAATACATACTCAAAGAATTTCCCTGGATATTCATTGACTAATGCTTTAGTGAAAAGCCTTCTTTCACCATAATATATGGTGCTCTTGTGTTCAAGCCAGTCGCCATTTCCTTGTTCTATTAAATCACTTTTAAGTCTTTTATACAAGTCAAGAGATTCCACAGTCCAAGTTTCATTGGGAGCAGAATAATTGGATGGCTCCATGTCTGCCATTTGACTGCTCTTCTCTACTTTTTCAGTTGTTAATAAATCCTGAATAAAAAAAAAATATCATCAGAAAGTTAACAACAGAATAATTACCAGGCCAATTCATTAATTCTCAAAAAAAAAAAAGGGGTATCATTAATCAATTAAGACCATCCGATATTCTAAGCTCCACTCTTCCCTCTTCATCTACCCTCAGGTCATTTCTTTGATGAAAAATTGTGTACAAAATCATAATAGGCCAATAATTTGTCGGTGATCATTAAAAGAAATTATGAAAAAAAAGACATGACTTCCGAGCTGTTTAAAAAGAACTAGATCAGAGAACATTAAAAGTTGTATGATATAAAAAGTGCAATTATTACAAGAGTATTGTTGTGCTTGGTTCAGAATTGTAAGTTTTAACAAGCATGAACTGTGTATGGCAAAATCCCTTCATCAAAAATTACATTTCCCCTTATTTCTTTGTTCCTTAATCTTAGTTAAAAAGCATTTCTACACTCAGAAATGAAGCTACAGTTATAATCAATAAAAACCAGAAACCAGAATAGACTAGCCTAGTGGAGGGTCAAAGTCCATGCCATTATTTTTCTCAAACGCTGTAGCTAACTGGGTAAACCAGCACCAGCTAGAATCTTACATAATCCACCAAAATAAAGCACATTTCACAGCCGAATTCCAAAATAACCCTCCTTTAAACTTATTAAGCTATCAATAAAGAGTTTTCAATGAAGAAACAGTACCTGTGAACACCCTTGATTTACAGTGCTATAGAGTCGACATCCTGAGGACTTCTCAGTGATAGGTAGTGGTTTCACTGTGTGGCCTTTAGTAACCTTCCACAAATGAGGCAATACACCAAAAACACAGTTCAAATATGATGCTTGTGTAACAACCTTTGGGTTCAAATAGGGCAAATTCCTTTTAAAACCCTGGTGAACTTCAACTTTACTAAGAGCATTTGAAACGTTGGGCCTCTGTCGACAGATGAATCGAGACAAAGGGTGAAGTGCCAAGCGGTTTGCATGGCTTGTCATTTCGAGATCAAATAATATACCGAGCACGTCTATAGGACTGAAAGAGAGCTGAAGCCATTTGTGTTAAAAACTACGACAATGAGAATCAAAAGTCTAAACTGAGGAAAATTTAACCTGTGTTACATCAGATGATTGCAAGCAGGTAAGAATGTGTAATTTGAATTATTTCTTAAATTGGAAATTATCAAATTCATATAAACTTGCTTTACTTGATTTGAACTCACTTCTTATCTCAACTAAACTACCCTTTGATTTATTTGTCATCAGTGTACGAAACGGAAAGTCTCCCTCCTCCTTCCCTCGCCATATCATGCTGTTTTCTACTGCACTTTAATTGTTACAACTGAACGCCTGAAGCAGGCTAAAGACAGAAGACCAGCAGATCATCAAAAACTTTTCGGGTGTCTCGATTGTTCATGTTTTACTCCTTACAAGAAATTTCCAACTCATTTAGTGAGATTTCTCATTCATTCGTTCTTTGTTTGGGAAAACACAGTAATCAGTTTATTGCGTTCTCTTTATCATTTTTTCCCTCTCTCTGCAATACACAAACAAGTTTGTCCTTTGCGTGACCCACCCACAACCATAATACCTGTATTAGTCTGTCACCAAGTTAGGATAACCAGTAAAAGGTATGTAAATTAATCCACTCGGCACTAATCTTGGATAACGTATCGTCATCGATCCATCTCTCAGCAATTTCTACCCTGGAGAAATGTAGCAAAATGTAAACCCAAGGAAGGCAACAGGTTTTTTTGTCAAGAGCTGTTTTTAATACGTGATTTGAGATCTTGTTTGTACGATGGCTCATGGAGGACATGCCACATTTTTTTTTTTTCATTGTGCGATAAAATCAAAACATCGCGCGATAAATGAAAATTATCGCGCGATAACTGATAAATTATTGCGCGATAAATGAAAAATCAGAGCGCAATAAATAGAGAATAATACATGGGCGCACGTAGATGTGAAATTTCTGTTCGAGTGTTCAACTCGATAGCTCACAAGTGAACGCAGCGAACGAGTGGGTTAGTTGAGTTGAACACAAAAAGAGAAATTCCATATCTACAAGCAACCATGTATTATTTTGTTTATGATATAAACACAATAGCCCTTTACTGACAAGGAAAGTCGTCTTCAATAATGAATGAAAATAAATGAATCGACAATCCCCGAATAACAATCGTAGAGCACGTTGGCGTTAACTCTTAAGATGGAAAAATATGTTGAATCATGATTACAAAATCAACAATGGTCGTAATTTTCAATTTACAAAATTCTCATTTATTGACTTTGTCCTTACCGACAGAAGAAGTTTTTCAGGCAAACGGCCAAAATCGGCCAGTGGCAAATCCTCCAGTTGTCAATTTTGATTCTCAGCCGAGAGAAATGGTAACACCAAAGCCATTGAATACGTAACTTTCGGTTTTTCTTTTAGTATATTGGTTTTCCTCCCCTTCTTGAGTTTGAACCTCACTGTTTGTCAGCGATACGGAATTTTAAGTGTTTTAGCCGCCATAATTCGAGAAAGCTCCGACAAACAACTTGTATTGAGAATCGTGAAAACTTTGACGTTCATTTATCAACCTGACCGAGGGGCACCAAAGGCGGGTGACGTGTCAGCTGATTGGCTATATCAACGCACGTGAAAAAATACGATATTTTTTCACTTGTGTTGTTGCAGCTTTTCTCAGGGCCAGAAATCCCTGTATAACACCGCAGTTTATTTGATAAATTACAATATTACTATTGAGTTAAACACTCGACGAGAAATTCTATACCCATGCATTATTCTCTATGTAACATCATGTAACATCGGCTTACTTTGGCCTTGAGCCAACCAGAGGGCGAAGATGCTTATATCCTGTGCAAATTTGTCCTTTTCTGTCAGCAGCAGCGCCCTCACGCATACCGGCCCTGATCGCTTTTTCAGGAAAAACGACGACATAGTAATCGGACTCAGGGGAGTCCAATTTGGTTTGTAACATACGAGTAGTTAACAAAATCACTAATCACGAGTATGATTATAATAATATTAAAAGTCATGATGATGATAATAATAGTACCATTAAGAATGATGATACACTATCGATATTTAAGAATGATAGCCCATATAACCCTTCAGTTTTAGGACTAAAATGCAAATCAAAATACTCAGACAAGAATAATAATACCATAATTATTTAATAAATTATAGTACGCTTTTAGTATAAGGGTTGATATAAAGAGGAAGTGCTTATGAAGCAGCTGCATCTTTGAGATTTCTGAACTAGAGTTACCTAATATTTTCGTATGAAGAGACATCAATACACTGAAAACTAAAAACCGAGAACTCAAAAGCAAAACGATGCAGATGAAGACCGACCGTTCTTAGAGAACGTTCGTGTGGGTTAAACTGAATTTAGTGAGATGAGTCGCGCAGACTTCTTTCGCGGAGGAAAACGACATCTTTGGTTTTACAGCTCAAGACATTTTATCTAGTTTAATTTTTGATTTTGGATAATTATGTGTCTGCGTTAAACTGATAACAGTTAAAAGTAAATTTCCAACACTGCCCTTCCCACTTCCAACTTTGTGACACGAGTTACGGTATTTTTCCTCATGCTCGTTGTTTACTCAGAGACTTACTAACTTTTAAGGAACGTGATGGAATTTTGATAAAGATTTGTTGAAAATTACTAAGGCAGATACTCTTACAAAAAAGTGAGCTTTTTTCGATGTTTGTTATGACGATGGTTTCATGAATTACTGTCAAAACAACGTAAACGTGATCTTGGTCGTGTTTACAAACTATGTTTAGAAGATTTGCAGTAACAACAAGCACAGCATGAAATCATGTTTTGACCACTCGATAATTACTAAACGCGAGTTAAATTTACAGTCAACAAGTTAAAAATGTAATCCAATCCAATTTTTAGCATTTTTTGACATGAAAATAACTCGTACTAATAACAACGGCAAATCTGCGAAATAAACCGATGTATTTTAAGTTTATCCTCTGAACTTGAAAAGAGTCGTTCTTGAAGATGTTACTACATTGTCATACAACGTCAGTCTAGAGAGAAAAATGACCCAATCGCTCTAAGGAGTTGAAGAAAGCTAATATCTATGAAAGACCCCACGTATCATTACAATTCTAAGGCATCGATTCACTTATTTGCTCAGATCAGTCCTGCGAAGACAGTATCCACTACTTAATGAATATCGATGGTATCTAATGATATCTACTAACGGAAATTTCTACACCAAGACATAACCATAGCCGTTTTCTTTTTCAAAGTAGTGCTAAGTTCTTACTTCCTTCCATCTGTCGCTACTCAATAGTCATGGCTCTCTTTCTCCCGTGTGATAAATTCTTGTCTATGAATCCGTCTCGAATGTGGTTGATGTTGGCGCCTTTTTCGATCAGGAAGCTTGCACAGTCAAATTCTCCCTCGTTAACCGCAGCGTCCAAGGGTGAGGAGCCATCTTTATCCCGCACGTCTAGCTGTGCTCCTTTCATGACAAGATATTGGAGGCTTTCAAGGCTTCCCGAGTAGGCAGCACGATGTAACGGGTAAACTCCATCGAGACCCGCCTGGTTGATATCCACGTTCGATCCTTCCACTACGCTTTTCAGTGTGTCCACGTCATTGTGTGTTGCGGCCCATTGCAGCAAAACTTGAGGATCGAGCGACAAACTTCGTTTCCTCCTAACAGACTTTTCGTCAGTTGTTAATGAATCTTTATCTCGTAACATCGCTGTCCTATCCTCGCTTATTTTCCTCGAAATGCTTCTGGAAGTAGAAACTTTAAGTACGCTTTTACACATCAAGGAAGACATCTTGACTTACTAAGAACGTGTCTAAGATTTTTTTTTAACACGGCTAATGCCTTCAAGATTTAAACAATTTTAGTACGCTTAATTGTTTTCCATCTAAAGTTTCATTTCCTGCGGGCAGATTATTGTTATTTCTTCTGTTGTATTAGCGTGGCTTTGCATCTGGGTGATTCCTAGCTGATTTAATTCACGCTTCAACACAACTTTTAGAAGAAAAACATAATTCATAAACAAAACAAGTCCTGGCATTGAAAGGATAAGCCATCTTCTGAATATGCCTTAGATATGTTAGAAGGGGATACTTATCCTTTTCGTCGTCTTTCTTTGAGATTGTCGCCTATCGATATCAAAAACAGTGAAAGGTCAAATAATTCTTAAATATCTGCTCTCTGCCAAAAATAACTGTTAATTTATCAGAAAAAAAGGAAGATCAGTATAGTTTAACCGTAATACGAAAACCATTTAAGGTGAGAGGAGTGCCCCGGCCTCCTCTATGCAAAAAGATTATCCTAAGCTGTTCACAAATTACAAGATATGACTATTTTGGTCCCTTTTAAATGACAGTGCGTATTAAACGAAAACTCACTAGAAACTGTGCAAATAATCCTCAGTTATCTTCAATAAATACGATGAAGAGAGGACGAGAAAAAAACTTTACCAAAACGTGTCGGTAGATACAAAACTAAGCAACTTAAAATTTTAAGGTAAAGGGTTTTTTTTAAGACTGACTAAGCGAATACGCGGCACCATAATAATTTACTCAAACTTGATGGCGATTAATTGACACAAGTGACGTCCGACTAAGTGCGAGCGTAATCTCCTGCATTCAAAAAATTGAAAAAACAAACAGACAGCAGAAGTAATTCGTCTGTGAGAAAGGACTACAGAATAGAGAGGTTAAATATTGCAAAGGTTAAGCCAGGAGGACAAATAAGCAGTTCGGAGCACAATGAACCCCATTATTAACTCCGTTTTTGAAGTTATCAACACAGTCTGGGAGTCCTACGTACAATCGTAAGTTTCCTTTGATAGATAACATTGAGCGAGAGCTCCATCATAGATAAGTTTCACTATCATGCAAAATCTTGGCCGATGTCCGGAATATCCCTTTAATCGATCATAACCCCCTTCAACGGATCTTATCGGATGAAGCTTAACCGCGACAACTTCAGAGCCGCCACAATATTTTCCTCCTGATACCTGACCACAGCTGACCACATGTTTCTGTTGCGTGTTTTCGCGGTTTTGTAATGTAGAACTGCGGTTTCCAAAATCAACACACCCCACTTTCCTGATCGCTTCCGCCATTAACTCTTCTGTGAAGCTAAGGAATGTAGAATAAGTTCAGTTATCGAGTGCTCGCACGTGCGTTACAAAAAGTTGTTCGGTTCATAGAAATATTTGCCTGATAAAAATTATAATCGAACTGTATGCATTTTGCACATGTTTAAACCTTAAGGCAATTTTCAAGTTTTTTCTTTTGGTGGACCCCCAACTCTTTTGCCTTCACATTTCGATGTCCTAGGAGTTCGGGTCATTTATTATTGCAGATTATCAAATTGCTTCACAATCTTAGATAAAACTGATATTTTGCCGGGTTCTCCTGAGCTTTGTTATGTTCGTGGTCAAAAGGTAGAGATAATCTGCATCAGACAGGTTTTGGGTTCCATTGGAAGATCGAAATCTTCAAGAGCTACGATAGAATGTCGGGGGGGATCTAGGAGTCCTTGATGAAGGGTGGAGAGAGAGGAGTTCAAACGATAATTCAGAAAACACAGAATGCATTTTTTGCAACATAAATTGCGGTGTTTTACAAGGATTTCCACTTGAGAAAAGCCGCAATTGCACACGTGTGATATACTGATAATTTTTTACGGGTGTTTGATAATACCAATCAGATATGGAATTTCTCTTTTTCTGGCCCCGGTTGTTCGAAGATCAGATAACGCTATCCACTGGATAAATCTCTATCTGGGCCCAGTTGTATAGAGGGTAGATAATAACGTTACCCAACGGATAAATCGCTATCCGGTAGATAAGTGATAGCAGAACGTATAGCGTTATCCACTGGATAGAGTTTTATCCAATGAATAGCGCTATCCAACCTTCGAACAACTGGGGCCTGGCTAACTCTATCCGATAGATAACGCCATATGTTTTGTTATCACTTATCTGCCGGATAGCGATTTATCCGTTGGGTAGCGTTATCCACCCTCTATACAACTGGGACCTGGTGGATAACTCTACATGTTTTGCTATCATTTCCGCCCTTTATATAACTAGGCCCTGTTCAACTCGAAGAGAAAGTCCATATCTAGCACGTCCATGTATCATTTTCTATTTCCTGGCTCTAGAGCTTAAATAAGCCAAGAAATTAATATTTCAAAATAAGTAAATTTTAAACACTTCAAGTACGAGTTAAGTAGTGATGAGCAATCTTGTCGTTGAACGAATTAAGGATTAAGACCCGTATTGATGAAGCGTCTAGGACCTAGGGATCCGGAATCCCCAGACTCCCCCCCTCCCCCCCTTTAGATTCGCCTTTGGATTTTTGCTCAGCGGCATGAAATATCCACGTCAACGTCATAGGGAAAGAACAAATAGCCTTCAGTCTCCTTAATGACGCAAATTACAAAACAAACCATAACGTGTACTCTCCTTTGTTTGTTAAACTAATATCTCACACGGTTGCGAGCCAATTAAATTGTATATAGCTGACGATAAACGCATCGCACAGTGGAGATCCAAATAAATTGAAAGAGCTCCAAACAATGTGACAGATTTTGAAAGATAATATATATGTTTCGCTCCAAGGCATGACAAAAAAAGCAATTATAACCAGCCATTGAAAACAAAGTCGGAAAGTTTGTTGAAGAAAAAAAAAGAAATTATTAAGTAATTCTTTAACAAAAATAAATATACAAGAGGTCAACGGATTTGTGAAAGGAAAGGATCTTTTAAGCAGGGCCAGAAAGTTCGCTGACCTGTGAAAGACCGCAGGAATTTTTAAATTAGTCTAAAGTCAACCATGATCAAAGATAGCGAAAGAAAACAAGCTCTTAATTGAATACAACCATGACGTCTTTAAAACCTGATTTATCAACGCAGAATATTGGAATTTTTTAGTCAAGGACTGCCTTTAGGCGTTGGAAGGCGAAACTTGTAAAAACGGGCAAAACTAGAGCAACATTTAACTGCATCCAACGAAATGTGCACAGCCAAAAATTTCATCAAAACAAATCCGCTTACAGGAAATGAAACTCTAGAAGCCAAAACATTATCTACATCAACCCGTGAGGGCTCAAAAGACACGGAGACACCAGATATTCGCGTGCAATCTTGGAAGTCAACAGATGAAAGCAAGAACACACGCGCTGATCTGTACCATCTTGGAATAGAAATGTGTTCTGCCACAAAGACTGCGTTAAAATTTCCAACAAGAAACAGTGTGTTCAGGAGAATCAGCGAAGAGAGAATGGCGGCGCAAAAAGACGATGGAAAACTGAAGCCAGAAGATAAGTCGGCCAGGAGAAGAAAGCAAAGCTTGTCGCTAGATCCACAACTATTACTCCAGTGGGCTGCGACTTACAATGATGTTGATACCTTAAAAAATGTAGTGGAAGGTACGAAAGTCGACCTTAATGCTCCAGGAGTCGATGGGTCGTATGCCTTGCACCGAGCTGCAAGCACAGGGAGCTTTGAATGTCTTCAGTACCTCGTGACAAAAGGTGCGCAGTTAGAAGTTCGCGACAAAGAAGGATCCTCGCCGCTGGATGCCGCGGTTTACGAAGGAGAATTTGACTGCGCGCGCTTTCTAATCGAAAAAGGCGCGAGTATAAGTCACATAAAGGACGGATTTACAGACAGGAATCTGGTTAAGATACGAGGACGAGAGCGAGCCATGACTTTCATGTAGCCGGCACACAACATCATTCATGGTGAAAGTTGCGTTGCAGTTCCAGGGAGAAGTGTTCTTGACATTTTGTACTCGCTTGGATCAGTGAATGAAATCTGCCTCGCCGTTACTAGTTCAAGTTGAACATTGATCAAATAATTGATTACTTGGAAAGTAATCGACATGAAGCTGTATCGAGGAAGAGTTTTCTGAAATCTGAAGTTTTTGTAGTTCGCACATTGAATTTGACTACAGCTGCGTCAATGACATTGGCGCTCTCGAAGACACATGTGAGAACTGTTTGCTCATCATTTTCTCTACTGTTCTGATTACTCGCTCTAAAGTGCTTCAGTTGACTAATATGTCTAAACTGAGTCGAGGATAGCGAGGATAGCGAGGATAGCAAGGATAGCACGATTCACGATTAAACTTGCAAAAAACAGTTTGGATAATTATTTTTTAGAGTTATCCATGGATCATTCGCATGGCACTACAGGTTTCGTTTTGAAGGAACTATCTATCTTTTGGTTGAAAGCGTGAAACAAAAACCTGTGCTTAATGAAAAAATTAAAATTGCGAATGGAAATATAAAAAACTACTTAAGTTGATAACTGTCATTCAGCTGTAAAAGCCACCGGGGTAATAGGGTTTCGAATGTTAAAATTACTATCACGATCGTACTCGCAACTTGAGACCTTACATGTAAGATACAAATGATCGTTATTATAAAAGGTGCGTTAGTTTCTCATAGATTTCGGATATTTGTGACCCTGTGTGGCGTTCTGTGATGAGAAAAAGCCTGATTTATGGCATTTTAATTTTCCTGAACTCACTTCGTTGATTCTGATCTTAATTTGTTTGTCTTGTTTGTAATCTCGTTGTCAGTCATCATTCCAACGAGGTTGATTATTAGTGTCAACAGACAGCTACAGAGGGTTTGTTTAGAACTTCCTTATGCTTAAAGAACGGTTATCCGTATTACGAAGCATATTGGAAGCGTATTAATCAAGTTTCTCAGTTTTCACGCGAATCAGCGGCCTAGTATTGACATGAAGACGCTTTTGTCCGCCTACACAATGAAAGAGAAAAAAAAGTTCAGACGTACTGGATTTCAACGCTTGACTGAGTCAAATTACCAATTCACCCGCAAGCAAGCGGCTAGTTGCCCGAATTAGCGGCAAGGAGAAGCAATGCATGATATAGTTAGGGACTGTTAAATAGTTGTTATCGAGAGAAATGTTCTATATGACAAATGTGTCAGGTCGAATAAAGCCACAAAGCTGTAGGTCGATGATGCATATTTCACTGATGAATCCAATTAATGAACATGTGTTTCTATTTGTGTTTTGTGTTGTTCTTAAACAGGAACAATAGTCGACCTGTGCCACTTAACCTACATTAAAGCACTTCATATACACATATCTTAATTATAACGGCGCATAATGCCAAGGCCGGCGGAACAGCCTCTTTAAACAAGGAACATATTGGCCATGGAAGACACATCATACAATAGCCCCAACACCTTTTTCGGTCTTAACTCGACCAGTTAGGAGCGGTCATCCTCTCAGACAATAGCTTTACTTTTCTTTTCTTTTTTTTCTATACCAAACTCTTACTTTTATATAGCATTGCCTTATGGCGAATTGAATAGCGCTGGTAGGAATGTACTGGTGAGAGTCACCACCCCCTCCCTGATATAACTAATTGGCGAGTCAGGTTCGTTCTTGCAAACTCTCTTGAAACTAAATCCAATGAAGTGACTAAAAGCGCTCTTCATATTGAAAATAATACTGAACTAAGAACCATGTTGGTCGGTTGAATGTGTGCAGGACGATAGTTTGACAAAAACACCTCTGCATGGAAGAGCGACACAACTCAATATATCTGAGCACATAGTTGCCAACTATGCAAACTGTTTCTCAGGGAGAACCATTTTCGTTTCTGTTTGAGAACCAGATTATTAAGAAACCTTATTTTATCGTGCAGAGATATAAATAGATCTTCGCTGACACTAACCTAATGTTGATACTTAAGGATTTCAACAACGCAGAGTATTCCAGTTTTGATCCCTCTCTCTCACATTACAAAAGCGATGAATTGAATATTTTCAGGGCAAAATGGATGCAGTATGTCTTGACGTTATTTTGCAAAATTTCACTTAAAATTTCACAAACAAGCTGTAATACAACCATCTGAACAAATAAGATCTACAGTACTATGCAGTTACAGACCTCCTGCAACTGTGGTGATAGAGAGATATGCATCAGCCAACAGAACATGTATTCATCAGCCAGAAGAACATGTCTTCATGATTGTAAAGATACGACTGATTTAGCTTCTCTGAAACTCCGCCAACGGTTGACAGGATTTCATTAGCGACAAATTAGCTTGAGGGTTTTCTTGGCTAATCAGATGATAGATTATTTAATGAGCAGTTTATTTTCTGGAACCACAACTGACATAAACGATTTTCCCCTGGTTCATTTTCTTTTTGGAAAACCGACTGAATCGAGTCCAGTGACTTCCCAGACGTCTTCCCACAAATCATGAAGATCCACTTCACAATTGATCACCAGTAACCTTAGCAACAAAATCGGACCCGAGGACCCGGAGGTCATGAGCCCGCTGTCACAGTCAGTCGCTATAACAACTAATTTAATCAAATATTGCCATGATTGACTGTAAAAGGCCTGCATGCATTTAAGACAACTAGCTTGATAAAAATGACAAAAACCGGCGTAGTAAATGACACTCAGCGATTCTTGCTCTTTCGCCTTAGAAGGTGCGCGAATGAACCAAAAAAAAATAATAATACGAAGAAGCATCAGCCTTTTTATGGAAACACGGATGAATTTATTTAATTTACTGGTAATGCTTAGCAATAATTTTGTTCTGAGGTCACGGTGCATTAGCTCTTAATAAACAAAGCAAGCATTTGTAACAAAACAGCTCTTAAAAGCAATGCCCGCTTTGAGCGAAGCAGTGTTCCTATGTCTATTTTCGACGATTTTACAACAAGTTTACTCGCTGAATAATGGTCTTGCAATAACTCCACCAAGTAAGTAGTTAGTTTTTGTAGCCTGCAACTGCTAAAGAAACTAAATTTCACAAAAAATTATAAACAATTCAATATTTCTCGAGGCAGAATTCAGACCTGGTCATGAATAATTTTGTTCAAATTCTGGCAATCGTTTGCTAAAATTATTGCATCTTACCTCGGTTTCCCAGTCTACACGACCTTGCTATCATGACCTTGTTTTTCTATGTTTGTAAAATTCGATTCTCCCTTTATTATTTCATTTCATAATTTATTTTACCATTTTACTTGGTGACAATGCGTTCTTTATCCCTGTTTGGTACCTGTTAGACCTGTCGAGAGATCAGTAAATATTGATGGAAGAAAACATGTTTTTCCGTGGTTGACTCACAACAAGATAATAATTTGATCTCAGTAAATGCACATCTCGCGCTACATTTGTTGTTGTAAGCTGATCTTTGGTATTTAAAAAAGACATGATTTATACGGGTAGGCAAAATCTTTTTAGCGACAAAGTGAACCAAAATAAAAGCCGATTGAATAAAATATTTCGAAGCGAATATCGATGGTATTCACCGAGGCGAGAAATGCTAGCGTACGTTTAAAAAATTCGCGATTTAGAAAGATTTTCAGTTAAGCTCATGTTAGATCCTTTGAATTTGCTGATTAGGGTACATAGTTGGAGAGCCGTGAGAACGAACGAAGGTCTAATTTGTCATCACCTAGCAACAACTCATCAACCTTGTCCCTAAGGCACCTCCCCTTTTTGAGGGGGAAGTACCTTAGGTACGAGGTTAAGAAGTGTTATGGAGACCGCTGGCTGAGAATTCGTGTTTTTTACGGGCATGAACCTTTTTTCTCGGTATCAGTCGATTGACACTGAACCTAATGAGAGAAAATATCTTAGTTATCATATGAGATCACAATTTTTTTATGACAAAACGCGGTATCAAAGAATCCTTCCCTTTTCACAGGGAAGGACATTCTTCAACAGGCATACTTGATAGTTCTCCAGTTACACACCAAATTTAGAAATATTACAGCTAGACGGGTTTATCAAAATTCCAGAGTTCACTGAACTCACCCACGAGTCATTGATCGAGTCAAGAATGCATGATTTTTAGTGCAAGAGCTGAATAGCTTTGATAATTACTTCGTATACTATGAAAATAGTTACTTATGGCGTACTCTTCCATCTTAGCCAGTTTGAATTAACATCACGTTTCTCCGTTGTGTAAGGCATGTGAGTATGCATGGAGCGATCATTGTTAGATGATTTTTCTGACGTCATCTGTGTTCCTGTTGTCCGAAATTGAGATTCAAACGAGAAGAACCTTTAGACTATCTTCTCTTGACATAAAATCAAATTAATATTGAGAAATTTTTGTGTATGTTTATTCCAGTGGGATGGATGTCGTGGGAGAGATTTCGCTGTGTTACAGATTGCGAGAAGGATCCTAAAAACTGCATTAGGTAAAACTCGTGCAACTCAAGATGTTTTGAACAAATGAATCGAGACTATTGAGCACGATAGCTTACATTCACTACTTGAAATGCGCCATAATTCCTATTTACAAAAACCAAAATTAGATCGACTGATTGATTGATTAATTATTATTATTATTATTATTAATTGATTGCTTTATTGACTGATTAATAGACCGATTTATTGATTGATTGATTGATCTGACTGCAGTGAAAGACTTTACATGGAAATGGCAGATGCAATGTACTTTGGTGGTTACAGCAATGTTGGCTATAAATATATCTGCATTGATGTAAGTAATCCACCTGCTAATTAACAATTACCACCCATACTTTAGTTTTCGCTCTTGACTCTATCGATTTATCTTTTGCACCTAATGCTTGATTTTTCAGATTTTAGGTTTCCTTTATAACCTTAATTTCCATTTCTTTGTGCTCTCTTCAATTACTTTCTGTTCGCCTAGGACTGCTGGACAGATATGAATCGAACTAAAGACGGTCGCCTGCAAGCGGATCCAAAACGTTTCCCAAACGGAATTAAAAAGCTGGCAGATTACGTATGTAGAGCAATATGTTTTACGTCATCTCACTTGTCTCTGATTCTTCTGATTTCATGATATATTCATTGGAGTTGTTGTCGAAGAAGGTCATTCCTCCTCGAGGCTTATGCAGATTTACACTTTGATGATATTTTCAGGTTCATGCAAGGGGACTTAAGTTAGGAATCTATGCAGGTACCGGCCTTGGTCCTTTATAATTCACTTATCTTGAAACTTCCTGTTTTTCCGGACTTGTCGTCAGATCAGTCTGTAACCTTCTGATTTCTTTGAATGATTTCAGATTATGGAACCAAGACATGCGCAGGCTACCCAGGGAGTATTCATCATATAAAGAAAGATGCACAGGTTTCTGCATCAGTTGAAAAGATCGCACTCTAAAATTCACTCTTTTTTTTTTCTCGTTCACAGTGGGCAAATAATTTTATTGTCACTCTAAGTTGGTATTTCTTTTCAGACATTTGCAGATTGGGGAGTAGATTACCTCAAGTTAGATGGTTGTTATGCAAACCCCAAAGAGATGGACAAAGGATACCCAAAGTTTGCCAAGGCACTGAATAAGACAGGCCGCCCCATAGTGTTTTCATGTAGTTGGCCTGCTTACCAAGTCTTCATGGGCATGAAAGTGTGTATAACATTGTTTCTAACGATGCAAGTTTTGTTTAAAAAGTGGTTTGCACCAATCTAAGGTCATTAGCTCGTCTTCGTTTTGATTTTGTTTTTTTAAAGCGTGCATAGGGCTGAAAGTTTTACGGGTTTGATCATGGTGAAAGCCAAAAAAAGGGATGCAAAATCGATAAAAGGCTCATGATAACTTTCCTTTCATTAATCATCTCTAATGCTACATCACAGCTAATGTAATAATGTTATTCGGGTACTGGGCTGTGGCGTAAGATCAAAACTTGAAATGCGTGTTTTGTAAATTAATTTTTAGCCCAACTACAAGAAGATCGCGAAACACTGCAATCTATGGAGAAATTATGGTGATATACAGGTAAATGTAAAATTAATAACGCGTATTGCGGCGATGATTCACTTTTCTATGCGATTTGGGGGGAAAAGGGTTAACATACATGTTGGATTTCTCCTTCCTTACTGTAGGATATATCGAATTAGACATATTTCGAATTTAAAACTTTATAGGCTGAATTTTAATCTTAGATCTTCAAATCATGGTTACTGATGTCATAGGGCACTTAAAATTATCGGCTTTTAAATTGCAGGATTCATTCCAAAGTTTGGTGAACATTTTCAGTTGGTATGGAGACAACCAAGATGACATGATACCTGTGGCAGGCAGTGGAAACTGGAACGACCCTGATATGGTCAGTGGACTCTTACTGAAATGCATGCGCACTCGGTGTGTCTCCCTGTACCATCAATCCTCTCTCCAGACTTCTCTCTTTGATCCACGCGACATCAGCAGATTTATATCTTTATTTTGCAAGTTCAGCCATAAGAAAATTGCAAAAGAAACACGACTTTAAATCGACATAGAAATGGTTCACTTTTTCATATTTGCCCTTTACTTTTCTACATTTTCTATATTTTGACCATACCGCAATCCATGTGCCTGAAAATCTAACCATTCTGTTGTTATAAAACAAATTGTTTTGACTTTTCTTTTGTGAATGGTGTAATGATCAGTTTATTCTCCATGAAACGAGATCCAGATTCTGCCAAACCCAACCCATACCATACTCTGGCACGAGAAAACATGAGCTTTTCATCAGTAAGTTAATTGAGAGCATAAGAACTATCGTGTTTCTTGTTTAAACCTGCATGAGTGACATGTTCCGGTTCTCTCTTTCAGCTGATTATCGGAAACTTTGGTCTCAGTTATGAACAGTCAAAGCTACAGTTTGCTCTTTGGGCCATATTGGCATCTGTGAGTATCCCCAGCGACGGTAGGCAGCCCTTGATTTCAGTCCTTAGAGTATAAAAATAATAGCTAAAAAAATCAATTAAAAAAGTCTATCGCAGATTTGTTCAAATAAAAAGCAAGTAAATTCTTCAAGTCGCGTTTCTCTACCATATAGAGGTTCATAGATTAACTCTATAACCAGATGATTGTCAGACCCCCCCGGAAAATTTTTTCAACTGAGTCTCTGCGACAGTAATTCATGTTTACAAATCAATTCTTTACATGATTTTCGTCATCAGCCCTTGCTTATGTCCAACGACTTGCGTGACATTGATGCCAGATCCAGAGGAATTCTTCTGAACACGTAAGTCACGTGCACTGTCACTGGCACTACAAAACTCAGCATTTCATTGTTTTAACAAATTAAGCTCTCTGCATTGTAACATCTAAGCCATGGTGTCATTTTTGTTACTTCTCAAAGGCTAACACGCCCACGAGTCAACGAAAACGATGTAGACCTGTTTTATTGCTTCCAGAAATATCCTTGTGCTTTCCTAGTAAAATTCTTCTTCGTTGCTGCGGAGGGGAATATCTCATTATGAATCGGCGACTGGTCACTTGAGTTAGAAAAGAATGGAGACAGAACGGAATGCAGACAGAGCCAGGAATCCGCCAATAAACTAACCAACAAAAAATTTACCACACATTCCAATAAACCCATTTTTTACTCCTAATGCAATTAGGCCCAAATTTGATATATATATTTTATAGAGAAATAATCGCTGTAAACCAAGACAAGCTCGGAAAACAAGGCAAGCGAGTGGTTCAGGTAAAGCGAGATTCAATATTACCAGTAATTTTAAGCAGAAAGTTGCCTACGTCTGGACGAGTCGTTTTCAAGCGTCTATGACCTCAAAACATACAGAATTACAATGTCTTTCTTCTTCACTGGAAAGATGCCTTTAACACGATTGCTTGAAATGCTAAGCTGCTATGATCAATTGGAACAATGGTTTTGATAATCTTTTTGGAAGAGCATGGGACAAACGAAAAATTGTGGGTCACCCACGAGGATTCAAACCTTGGGAACTTCCTATACCGCCGTCGGATCGGTACATTCTCATTAAGCTAAAGGCTGTTTATCGGGTTTATAAGCCACAAGCGTTAATCTTGCATACTGCCAGATTCTAGCAGCAATATCAAAAGCTGCTGATCACTAAGCTCAAAGTTTGCTATCCTTCTAATAGTTAAACTTTTAACTTCCATGAGTGACCAAGATAGGATTTCTTCTTACAATAAAATATCAAGCAGACGACTAATGAGAATAAAAACTAACACTAATTAGGAGATTATTAGTTGATCCTATACCAAATTCTCGAAACTAACAGCACAAGAACTATATGGTAGACAGTGAGGAGAATTGCTTGTGAGATCCAGGGAGTTAAAGGGTTGACTGATCGTAGTAGCTTCACTTTCCTTCCGATAGAACAAAAAATCGTTTACGGAGGTATGGGTACGACCCTTGTCAGACTGCGGAAGTGTAGCTGTGGTCCTTCTTAGCCTGAGATCAGATCTACCGTCTGATGTGGAAGCCTCGTTCTCTGACGTAAGAATCCATCCTCTATCCTCTTCTGAAGCTTATTGCCAGGAAATACCAAATTTAGCTTTGATCACCTTACAAACCCTGCACAATCCCTTCGATGATGTTTCCCAAGTGTATGTGATACGTGCCTTCTCTTTGGGTAAAAATATGCCGAGTGTGTATCCTTTTTATGGAGAAAGTACTTTCAAGAATTTGCCGCCTTTTTGATCATAGCTTATTTTCACCTGTACTAAATTTAGATCTTCACTCTCGCTGTACACTCCCACCTAAAATAATGTAATATTTTCCGACCTATTACGAAACGAATTCCCCCCTAACAATAAGCCCTCGTGGGTGTATCAGGATATCCTGCACCCTTATTTATTTAATCTACTTCTGTATTTATCTTTATGATTTTTATTTTATCTTTATCTTTATAGTGGGTCGAAACAAAGATTGTTGATTAGTGGGGTATCAGGATACAGGACGACCATTCCGTAGGGAACATCCCCTACCGTGACCAAATCGATATCCCGACAAAAAATATGTTCACTAACTCAATCCTCTCGTGAACTAGGGTGCTTAGAAAAAATCCTGGGGTACGTCCTCCCACGTTCCCAACCCCAGTCATCACACGTGCTAAGCCAACTGTTTCTATTCAAACGCAGGTCGGAATTTCAACAAAAAGTGCTTGTGCACGTGACCTGTTTGCTCATCAGCAGCTAGGAATGTACAACGAATCATTTACAGCCAGAGTGAACCCTAGTGGGGTGGCCATGGTGAAACTGACGCCAATCTGCGAAAAGAAAAGAAAATCACTCAAAAAGAAAAGAGGAAAAGGAAAAGAAAGTCATAAAAGGAGTTGCTGCATAATCAGTTGTTGATATAATTTACTATCACGAATCTCTTGATTTCAGTTTCCTGATTCATTTTATTATTGCAACGAATAAAGTGCTATGAAAAAATCCGTTTGAAATGTTTTCTTACCTTACATCACTTTTTTTCCGGTCTATAGCCAAAAAGGGAAAAAATTTAAACAAGTCACATTTTTATTGCCGGAATGACTGATTTCAACAAAATATTGATACTATCTTGCTGATTAATTTTCCCTCGAGTGTTAAGATCACGCAAGTTGTTCCCTCGCGCGGAGAGTGGAAGATCTCTCTCAGGCTGGTATTGCTGTGCAACAAGCAATCTCGTGATTTTCTAGCTCAGAAACTGAAAATGGCGGATGGTCACTGGGTTTTTGCGGCTGTATCTCTGGTTATTTTAGTCACATTCCCCAACAAGGATGCAGTTTTTGGTTTGGATAACGGCTTAGCTCTGACACCACCAAGTACGGTTACTCAGTTCAATTATAAGTTAAAGAAGTTGGCTGTTTAAATTCTGCTGACTTGCAGAATACACTGATGTCATATTCTTTTCCCTTGAAATAATTAATCACGGTAACAGATGCATTGTTCGGTTTTGCTTCATTTGCACAGTGGGCTGGATGGACTGGGAAAGATTTAGATGCAACATCGATTGCAACAAGGATCCAGAAAACTGCATAAGGTGAGTTCGTTGTTTTAAGACAATTTGCTCATAGTACCAAACTGAAATGGTAGATAAATTACGGAAGTGTATCTCACACTCTCTGATTAAATGTTTAGGGTTGATCAATAAAAACTGAATGCATAAAAATATTTTTGCAATATATATATATATTTTTTAGAGGATTAGCAACTTAAAACACCCATAGCGTCATGTACAAATTAGAAATAATGACATAAGGTGGCAAAAGGTTTGCAGGTGACATGTGACGAAGGTCATTAAGCCCAAAATTAATACGCGGTGCTTAAATTAAACAGGAAGCCAAGGTAAGATGGGATTTGAAGTTTTTCCTTTACAATTCGTGACGCACGAAAAAGTGATGCGTGTATTTTTCTAAAATTTGTGCGTGACATAAGATCAGGACCCTTCCCCCTTTCATTGCTACCTTTTGATCAAAGACTAGGAATGGGAGGAGAGGGATGGGGGAAGGAAAAGGGTGTTGATCAGGGTGGGGTACCCGTAATAGTCTTAATTGGTTATAATCTAAGAATATCAATCTGTTTTATTACTAGACAGATAGCCAGCTTGAAAAAATTGGCCATCATGAGTTTACAATCTTCATTCCCACAGATTCTTTTAAATAATTTTCTAGATAGAGTCTGTACCTCACCTGAGATCTTCATCACCTACAGTACAAACATAAGTCACCAGAAAAGTTCCAAGCAGAAAAGTTATAAACTCTAGAGGGAGCTTTCGTTTAAAATTTAACCAGGAGCTGAAAATACTTTTTTTTATGATCTGTCTTAGTGAACATCTGATCAAGCAGATGGCAGATCATCTTGCTGAAGATGGTTATCGAGATGCTGGATATGAATATGTTAGCATTGATGTAAGTACCTTGAAATATCTTGCAATGTACTGTTGTCGTTGATTTCTTGAAATCTCAATGTGATGTAAACATTTCATTATAATGACAACAATGATGCTGATGACAATAATGAGGTTAAAAACCATGATGATGATGACAGCAATGATGGTGATGATTTTTTCCTTGTTGGATTTAACTTCATATATTTCAGGATTGTTGGTCAAACAAAAAGCGTGATTCTTCTGGCAATCTACAGCCAAACAGTACAAGATTTCCAAGTGGGATGAAAGCATTAGCAGATTATGTAAGATAATGTATCTCTTACTTGTTATAATATGAAGAGTTACTAACTTAAAACTCTCCTGCTGATCTGGTGTGTTACTTTTTCAGATAATAATATTTGACAAGCTAATTAACTAGGCAAGAATGTCTCCAATTTTTTATTGTAAATTTTACTGTTTCTTTATAGACTTTCCTGTGTCAGAATAAGTTTGTTTTGTTTCCTTCATGACACTATATTGAATTTGTTAAAATTCTTATTTGCCTTTTTAATGACTTTATATTAGTTACACAGTAAAAGACTGAAACTTGGAATGTATGCTGGTGAGTATCTACTGATTGAAATTTTAAGTCAAAGTGTAAATATGTTAGTATTTTTGACTGAATCAGTCACTTTTCAAGTAACTACTTCCTGTGATCAGTTGAAAGCAGATTTAACAACTTATTTTTAATGCTAACTGAACAGGTAACATTTTTTGTATTAAAGGTGAGCTATCTGTGTTGTAGCATTAAATTTTGCTTATTCATTTTCTGAATATCATCTTTTATAAATACCCCTGTTCTTTATTTCTATGATCTCTAACAGATTATGGCTTTTTAACATGTGCTGGTTATCCTGGAAGCATTGATCACATTGAACAAGATGCACAAGTAAGCTGTTGATAAAATATTCTTCACTTTTGATCATATAGAATGATCATCCCAGTAAAGGCACTACTAAAAAGACCTGTCATCAGTGATACTGGCTGATGGTCTAATAACCAAGAGAAGATCATTACAAGATACAAGGAAAATACTGACTCTGATGCTGACTTCCTCTTGGGTTGCTTAACCTACAGGCAGTGTGACAGACTGCCAACCCCTCTGTCTCTAAGTCTAATCAATGCCTTAGTCTTCCTGCTATGTATTCAGTGAATTTCTTCTAAATTTAGCTCAGATAATTAGATGTGAAACAATATTAACTGGTTTATAACTTTGCTTTCTACCCATCTCTTTGCTGCTTGAAAATATACACTTAATTAGTGTCAGATGAAATTCCTTTTGCACCAGACCAGGGAGTTAAGTTTGGGTACAAATCCACACTGAATATTCACTGTAAAAATCACCAATTTATCTGACAGGACCCAGTTGTTCAAAGGCAGATTAGTGCTAACCCAGGGTTAAATTTTATTCTAGGCCTCTCAATTTCTTTGTTCAAAAGCCTTTTAAGGGAGAATTTTCCCTAATCTTTTTAGAATATCCAATGATGAAATTGCAAGCAAAAATATTTGAACCAAATTCCTTTTAAAGCTTTTATACCTGAAATCAAATTTCACACTAACCCTGGGTTATCTTAACCTAGCCTTAAACAACCTGGGCCAATACTGAAAATTAGAAACTTCAATAGCATTTCAACCCATAACCTTTGCATTACAAGGTTCCCTTGTTCGTAGTTGTGAGGGTAACTGACCATGTTATTCCTTTTGTACCACTGTTTCTTTCTTGTCAATTATAATCATACTTTTCAGACATTTGCAAGTTGGGAAGTGGATTATCTCAAAGTGGATGGTTGTTACGCAGACCCTGCTCTGTTTGATGTCGGCTATCCAAAATTTACTCAAGCTCTAAATGCAACAGGGCGCCCAATATTACTCAGCTGTGAATGGCCTGATTACCAGTCCAAAGCTGGAATAAAGGTTACTACAGATACAATAATAGTATTACTAATTAAGTTATTTTGTGCTTAGATTAACAAATTTTTATACTTACTGGACTAAAAATGACAAAAACACTATTTTAAGAGAAAATTGCTGCAAGCTAGGTATTTTATGCTATTTTATGGAGAATCTCAACTTTGCTCACCACTGTAGCTGTCTGGTTAGAAAAATAATAGATCATCAATCCTAGTGTTAACCTTTAACTCCCAAGATCTGATTGTTAATTCTCCCCTCCAGCTGCTACACATTTCTTTGTAAATTAGTTATGAGAATGTGGTGTTAGATCAAGATAGCAGCTTCTACCTGATAAGTTTGAATATTCTCATTACCTGTTTGCTGAGTAATGTATGGATATTATAGGGAGAAGTTTCATGTTCATCACTTCTGGGAGTTAAAGGGTTAAAGCCCAAAATGGCTCATTTCAGCGGCACTTCTTCCAGCTTTTCCCAGGGTACATCCCTGCCTGCCTCCTCTCCCCTCCCCACTGCCCCCAAGCATTTGTGCACTAAGAACCTTCCTCCTTGAGTATTTCAAAATAGGTTACTTTATGTCATGTATTAGAATGTTTGGGGTAATTTTCTCAGTAGAAGAATCTGTTTCAACTGTCCAGAATTTTCTGTTGAGTATTGGAAGGATAGTTTATCAACTAGTAAAGGTAGAAAATAAGTTGACTGAAGGATGGTTTTGATAAATTTCAACCGTATAACACCATCCAAAGTCATTCCTTGAACTGAAAATACGTTTTATTCCAGCCTGACTATGCTGCTATTGCTAGAAACTGTAACACCTGGAGAAATTACCAAGATGTACAGGTTGGAGAGTTTGTTGATCCGTTCGTTCTTCTTTATTTATTCAAATGTATTTGTTATTTAAGGTATTTACTCATCTTCTCATTCTGCCTTGTTATATCCTGTTTCTGTTTAAACCAGTAGTAATAGTAATTGTATTAAGTGAAATGCAATGTGTGTAGCGCATATTACTTGGAGTTGGCAATACCTATACCGTGTTTTTTATGCATCACTTTTTCAATCTTCATTAACAGGACTCGTGGAATAGTGTTCTAGGAATTTTGGATCATTTTGCCGAGAACCAAGACACGTTCGTTGCAGCGGCGGGACCTGGGCACTGGAATGACCCAGATATGGTAAAACGCTAAGCCAGCCAGCTTGAACACTACAACAACCTTACTTAGAGCCATTTCCACTTGTTTGTTAAACGCAACTCAGAATCGCATTGGCTTTGCTTTAATTCACTTTGTGATTGGTCTAGAAAAGTCGCGCTACATCCTCAACCAATCAGTGACAAAACTGAATGCGATCGCGCCTTGATCACACACGTTTTCCATGCTATAAAAGGGGACTTACTGCCTATACTATGAGCTCTCACCAATGGCATGTAACATAGATTAGATGCTTCTTCTCCTACTGGTTGCCTATCAAGATATTGTCCTTCGTCCTGGTTTGTCGCTGTGATAACTTTAGTTTCTTTGATTAAGAACTAAATCAATGATATTCGGGTAATCACTCTTGATACATTTTTAATAGTTTTGTTTTAATTTCC